CCCGCCATAACGCCCATTTTTTTTTTTTTGACAGAATTTCAGTCTTTCACCCTGCGTAGAGTGCCATGGCATCATAGTTCACTGCAACCTCAAACTCCTGGGCTCAGGTGATTCTCTAGCCTCAGCCTCCTGAGCAACTAGCACTACAGGAATACACCACCACACCCAGCTAGTTTTTCTATTACTTTTTTATTTTATTTAGTCAGGGTCTCACTCTTGCTCAGGCTGCTCTCAAACTCCTAAATTCAATTCTACCCGCCTTGGTCTCCCAGAGTGCTAGGATTACACATGTGAGCCACTGCACCCAGCCTATTTATTTATTTTTGAGACAGAGTCTCACTCTCTGGCTCTGGGTAGAGTGCCATGGCATCATAGCTTACAACAACCTCAAACTCTTGGGTCAAGTAATCCTCTTGCCTCAACCTCCCAAGTAGCTGGGACTACAGGTGACTGCCACAAGCCCAGCTAGTTTTTTTATTTCCTATTTTTAGTAGAGACAGGGTCTCACTCTTGCTTAGGCTGGTTCTGAACTCCTAAGCTCAGGAAATCCACTTGCCTGGCCTCCCAGAGTGCTAGGATTACAAGCATGAGCCACTGCAGCAAGCTGGTCCTTGTTCTTTAAAACAGTTTTTATTATTCTAGGTAAGGAGGTAGAAGAACAAAACATTCTCTTGGGGTGGTGCCTGTGGCTCAAGGAGTAGGGCACCGGCCCCATATGCTGGAGGTGGCGGTTTCAAACCCAGCCCCAGCCAAAAACTAAAAAAAAAAAAAGTTCTCTTGGGCACTAACATGAAGATATCTTGATGAAGGTACTCTTTCTTTGCAGGGCGTTTTTTCTATCAGCGGCTGGTGGAGTTCATGGCCAGGTACTTCTCATTTTTGTTCTAGCATCTTTATCCACCGAGGTGTATATATCTCCTCTACCCCATATACTGACTTATTCATTTGCTACTCTTTTTTTGTTTGTTTGTTTGTTTTTTCTGAGATAGAGCCTCAAGCTGTCCCCCTGGGTAGAGTGCCTTAGCATCACAGCTCACAGCAACCTCCAACTCCTGGGCTCAAGCAAGTCTCCTGCCTCAGCCTCCCAAGTAGCTGGGACCACA